TACATCAGGTTATATTCCAACTTCTGCTTTCTCAAGATGAAGATTAGAGGAGTTATTTGTTACCAAGCAGTAGAAGAAGTTGGACAAGTTTGTGCCTACAAAAAAAAAAAAAAAAAAAAAAACAGTGTGTCAAAAGGACAGTTTTTCCCTTGACACCACTATTATTTTAATTATGTTCACTTCCTTGGTAGTGTTTATTTACAAGATTATAAAAAAATATTTTCAAAATTTAAATGTAATTTGTTATGTTTATTTAAATTTTCTTGTTCATAGATATTTTTTTTATAAATTTATCAATAAAAAAAAAATTATTTTCATATTTCTTTATAAATTGATAAATGATAAACATTGCATTGTATTAGTTGGTTTGCATTTTTAGAATTTTTAGAATGTAAATATAAAATTATTTTTGTAAGCAATCTAATAGTGTTTAATATTTTTGTGGTAAATTCTCAAAGGACAAAGAAAATGCATAAATTCAATTTCACATGAGTTTTATTAAATTCTAATCATCACTTTTTAAAACAACAATTCCATGGGAGTGAAGGTAGGTAAAATTGGCAATTAGTCAACATTTTAAAACTTATTGCATTGTAGATGGTTTCCATATTTTGATAATGTTTTTAAAATTTTTGAATAAAAATATTTTCACATTTATTTCTTTATAAATTGGTAAAAAATAAATATTTATAAAAGGCAAATAATTTTCTAGTCTTGTAGATAAACATTGTCAAGGGAATGAATGTAGTTGAAATAATAGTGGTATCAATGTGAAAACTGTCCTTTTGAAAAACTGTTTTTTTCTTTGCAGGCAAGAAGGTCCATGTATGCCAAAAGTTGTATGCGTTCATGTTATACACTTGGCAAAAACAAGTGAAAAGAATTCTGTAGAGAAGATTGGTAAAAGAGCTAGTGAAATGTTATTCCCGTTAAAAATGGCTTGTGGTCAGTGGTGACATCCTATCAGTTCATATGAACCAGTTCTTCAAGTTTTAAAAAGCTTAGAAAACCAATTGTTGGATTATCTGAAAATAATCATATATAAAGGATGTTCCAATTACTTGAACCGATTTTAAATTTGAATTAAGTTTAAGCATCTAGTGATTTTTTTTTCTTTCAGATTTAAAAACTTAAGTCTTTAGCAATTTCAACCATGGAAAGATTAACAATCAAACTTGTTAAAGTTTCAAGAGTGCAGTTAGAAAAATTGTTCATAAATTTAAACAAACTGGATTAGTGGCAGATGTGAAAACACCATTGCATGCTCTTTTATGCTGTTCAGCTGAAAATCCAGACATCTCTATTCATCATAGTGCACAGGAATAGAACCTCTCCACAACATAGTTTCCAATTGCACTCTTGTTTAGTCAATTTTGTTAACCAAAAAAATTGCAAAATGCATCTGTTTCAATGTACATTTTCGTAATAGGCTTTGATAACTTTAACACATTGTTTGATTGTTAATCAACATGGTTGAAATTGTCAAAGACTTAAGTTGTTAGATCTGAAAGAAAAAGAAAAAAATCATTAGATGCTTAAACTTAGTTCACATTTAAAATTGGTCCAAGTTATTGAACACCCTTTATTAATAGCTGATAATCTAGGTAAAATATTAGTTACATTATGCATGTGTGTGCACTTACTGAAAAAAAATGAGGCAAATTTTCTAGTCATAAATTTGATAGGTTTTTCATTGGATCTTTGGGATTGCAATGATTCAGTTTGAATGTGGTGAAGAAACCATAGCACTACAGTGAAAAAGCATCATACTTCCAAACAGAAATATGACGAGAACAGAATTTCAATCTGGAAATATTTTAATAAATGTTTTCTATTAAATTATCAAAATGGTTTAATTCTTTTTGATATTATATAAAATGGTTTGTTTCCATTCCAAGATTGAAAAGAAAATAGACAGATTCTTAAAGATTATCTGCCATTATAGAAGCAAGTCTTGTCAATTTAGGTTGCTCCCACTGCTTTGAGTGGCGCATGTGGTTCAAAGTAGTGCAAGGATATCCAAAATGTGATGCAAGAAGCAGATAGTACAAAAACAAAAAAAAAAATCCAAAGAACAGAAGCCAATGTGGTCAGAGTGAGAATCTTAATGCACTCAGACCAAAGATTAAGTGTATGAATGGAAAACTTTTGACATGTTTCACTGATCAAACATTGTCAAAATAAAAGTTTTCAAAAATGTTTCAGATATGTGTATGTGAGGGTGGAGTAAGATTGGATGGGGCAGGTGGTGTAATGGATGGATGGCTTGAAATGAGAACTTGGAGAGCAGAGTTCAAATTCCAGTTGGGTTCATATAATTCACTTATGCACAAATACCTTAGGGAAGGTATGATTCCATCTCCCCTTATCTATGGATCAAAAAGTATGGCTGACTGTTCTCTATAGCCTTGGTTGGCAACCAGTCTAAGAGAAGGACAACTCCAAATTCAAAAGCCTGAGCAAGGATATTTAGGGATCACATGGCATACAATGTTCACAAATTCTGTTTTTGGTTCTTCTGAAACGCGCAGTTGGTTCTGCATAAGCCTTCACGCTTATAATCAAATCATATGTGCAGGTAGTCTGTTTGCCTCTGTGCTTCTGGACCCTCATACATCAAAGATAATGGGTGAGTCCATCTTATACACATATACATGTAAATATAGACATTTTTAAGTATATATTCTATCGGTGTACAAAAAAGAAACAATTTACAATGTCAATATTCAGAACTTAAAATGATTTCTTGGTTACTTATTTTAGTTCATCATTTTATTTATAATTATTGCCAAATGATGCAAACAATAGACTGAATTATTTAAACCAATTAGTTGTAAATAACCAACAATGGCTTTTTGTACTCATCAGTCACTTATTATTGCCAACTATAAATGTTTTTACATTTTTGTAACCTTTTATCAATTGAAGTTAAGTTTCGTGACAGCTATTAGGGAGATATGATGAAATATAATGTATAAAAAAAAATTTATTTAGTATAATTATTGTTTAGGTAATAAGCATTATAACGTAGCACAAATAGCTATATTGTGGAAAAAGGAATTTTCAACAATATACGCATTTTTTATGTATTTATGGTTATTTTTTTAACTTTTATCAAAAACAACATTCTTGCACATGTAGTTATGGATAATATTATACATTAATTAACAATTTCTTTTATTAATAACAATTTGTGCTCAGTGTTGACATTAATAGCTATCTGCTGATATGTTAAAATTTTGAAATAATGCAATTATAAAAATTTTAAATTTCATCTCTGATAGATGTCACAATCTGTTAATAAAAACATTTCACTTTGGTTCATTGTAGACATAAATGGCATTAAATATTTCTCAACTGAATTATTCAATGTCATCTTTGACTAATAAAAAGGAGATGAACATGAGGGATGCAAAAACCATGACATTTTAAGGAAGAAAATTTTGATGGAAGTTTTGCAGGATGTCATCTGGAAAGCTGAGGCAAGCAACGCCTGCTCTAATAGTCAACTAAATTTGCATAAAAAATTTAAATTAAATTTGACTTAAATTCATAATAAATAAACTTGCATCATTTCAAGGTTTTGACATTCGATACTTCTAAGGTTTGAAAAAATCATTTAAGTAATACAATAATCAATTTGCTGTTTTAGATAAATTATGAAATAAGTAGCAAAATAATCGTTCTAAATAATGCAGTAAATCAAAGTAAGTGCTGCATAATTTGTTGCAATTTACAACACAACATTATATAAATCACAATTGTTTCTAATTGAAACAATATCTATCAACATATAATGCTCATCATTGGGAATACAAATTAAATTTAAATGCAATTTCTTAAATCAATGTATAAGAAAGATTTATGAAAAAAAAAACAAAAAACAAACAGAAATAAAACAGAATAAGCCAAATTAAATAAAAATAAAAAAGAAACAAAAATTTTATTAATTTGTGATAAATAATTGTTGGAATTGTAATCTAAAACAGAAGTGAGAGAAAAAAAAATAACTCAGGGGAGACAATCACTTGCATTATATGAAAAGGTTAAAAACAAAACAAAAAAACACGCTTTTGAGTGACTTTCTAATTGGAAAAAAAAAAAATAAATAAAAAAAATAAACCCAAAAAAACCCAAAGTTTTAACACTTTGATTTTAGCAAATTATTCTAACAATTGACAAAATGTTGGCAGTTGTCATGCTGAAAATGATAACTTCCTAATTGAACAGATATATTTTGTAATCACTAACAATACAGTAATAATTAAACATTACAAATTCCAAGCAAAACAACAAACAAAAAAAAAAATTCAATCCCTGAGTATTTCCAATGAATTATTGCAAGTCTAGAATCAATGATACAATATTAAGATTTGCAATAATATCAAACAATAATCCCATTCAATGATTTTGTTTAATATGAAATGGTATCAGAGTATTTCTTGACTGTACCTACTTTGATTGTATCATTCGATAGGAATGTGTGTTTACTGAGTTAATCTGCCAATTGGTTACATATGATTTACTTGTGTCTAATTATTATGCAATGATGTATCCCATTCTACTGGAATGGCTCTGTAATCTTTACAATGGCTAACAAATTTGAGTATTGTGGCTGCATCAAATTTTGTTTACAGTTTAGCAAACCTATTAATGAAATTTTCCAAATGTGGCATTTGTGCTTCAAGGCTGCTCAAGATGAGGGTTGTCTGTATTAACCAATCAACAGCAAAATAGCAGAAAAATGTGAAAAACAAAAATCCTATCAACTTTTTATCTATTAACTAGGAGGAGGTCCACATCCAGGAATTTTTCCAATACCATTTCATATTATCCTAACGTTTTTTTTTTTTTAGTTATTATTATCCATAAAATTTTAACTCTAAGATTTTGGGGCATCACTAGGTGAAATACTCCACACATTTGGGAAAAAAGCTCAACAATGATGAAGTTTATATTAAGAATAAAAATCTCAAAATATTCTATGTGAAAAGTAAGTATTAACTAATATGATTAATTTTTTGCTTGTTGTAAAAAAAGAAGAAAAAAGAGAAAAAAAGAAGAAAAAAGAGAAAAAAAGAAGAAAAAAGAGAAAAAAAGAAGAAAAAAGAAAAAAAGAAGAAAAAAGAGAAAAAAAGAAGAAAAAAGAGAAAAAAGAAGAAAAAAGAGAAAAAAGAGAAAAAAGAAAAGAGAAAAAAGAAAAGAGAAAAAAGAAAAGAGAAAAAAGAAAAGAGAAGAAAAGAGAAAAGAGAAGAAAAGAGAAAAGAGAAGAAAAGAGAAAAAAGAAGAAAAGAGAAAAAAGAAGAAAAGAGAAAAAAGAAGAAAAGAGAAAAAAGAAGAAAAGAGAAAAAAGAAGAAAAGAGAAAAAAGAAGAAAAGAAAAAAGAAGAAAAGAGAAAAAGAAGAAAAGAGAAAAAGAAAAAAAAAGAAGAAAAAAAAAGAAGAAAAAGAAAAAAAGAAAAAAGAGAAAAAGAAAAAAGAGAAAAAAAAAAAAAAAAAGAGAAAAAGAAAAAAAGAAAAAAAGAGAAAAGAAAAAGAAAGAAAAAGAGAAAAAAAAAAGAAAAAAAAAAAAAGAAAAAGGAAAAAGAAAAAGAAAAAGAAAAAGGAAAAAAGAAAAGAAAAAAAAAAAAAAAGAAAAAGAAAAAAAAAAAGGAAAAAAGAAAAAGAAAAAAAAAAAGGAAAAAAAAAGAAAAAAGAAAAGGAAAAAAAGGAAAAAGGAAAAAAAAAAAAAAAGCTAAAAAAGGAAAAAGGAAAAAAAGGAAAAAGGAAAAGGAAAAGGAAAAAGGAAAAAAGAAAAAGGAAAAGGAGAAAAAAAAAAAGAAGAAAAAGGAGAAAAAAAAAAAAGAAGAAAAAAGGAGAAAAAAAAGAAGAAAAAGAAGAAAAAAGGAGAAAAAAAAGAAGAAAAAAGGAGGAAAAAAAGAAGAAAAAAAAAAAGAAAAAAAAAAAAAAAAAAAAAAAAGAGAAAAAAAAAAAAAGAAAAAAGAAAAAAGAGAAAAGAAAAAAAAAATCTACAAAAATTTCCTCATGAACATTTGGATATTTATATAAAACTACTTTTAAAAAAATAAGTACAAAATACAATTTTTTTTTAGGTTATATAAAAATTATATCTACAGCTTGCAGTGCAGACTGGATTTTATAGCTTTGTTTAGCAAGAAGGAATAACTCTTAATTCAAACCAGTTGTGCATGGGCTAGCATTTTTACACTGTAAAACATGCTACTGAAACTCTACAACAGTCTCACTTCATGCAAAGATATTGCAGCCCTATGTTCCATAGAAGTCTACAGATTTAAAATCAGATATATGTGGTATGACAAGTCCAACAAACACCATACCATGCCATTTGGGTAATAAGTCATGCAAGCATTTATAGCTTACCAAGTCCAGATGTGTTCCAACTTCCACTTTTCTAAGATGAAGACCAAATGAGTCATTCCTTGCCAAACAGTATAGGAAATTGTATGTGTTCATGCTATACTTTTGGAAGAAAATGACTGAAAAGCATCTGGAGCAGTAGGTTAATATCAAGTTTTACATGAATATTGATAAAAGTACTAGTGAAATATTAACACTATAAAAATAGTTTAAGGGGAACATGCTATGAAGAACGCAAGTGTTTTTGAGTGGCACAGGCAATTCAAGGAAGGACAAGAAGATGTATATGATTAGATAAAATGTAAGTACCCCAAAAACAAAGAATAGATGAAAATACTTATTTGGAAGTGCTGAAAAAATTACAAGACTCTTTTCAGAAGAAGCACAAAAATCTGGACTGATAGTGTATTTTTCACCATGCTTCTGCACATGATGTATTAGGAGCTTGTGAGTTCTTGGCTAAGAAATTAATTGCAAAAATGGTCTATCTTCCTTATTCACCAGACTTCGTCTGCTGTGATGTTTGATTATTTCAAAAATCTGAATGGATAAAGTTTTGCTGTCATTCTTGACATATGACTACACAATAGTCATTACAATTGAGTTATTCCAGAAAATGAGTGTCAAGAATGTTTCCAGCAATGACACTGCCACTTTGCAAAGTGTATAGAGTGAAAGCAGTTAATAGTGACCAGGTAAGCAAACTTTGCTTTCACATGGCCAATCTAGGAATTAAATTGTCACATCTTGTGTGTGTGTATTATATATATATATATATATATATATATATATATATATATACATACACACACACACATATATATATATATATATATATATATATATGGGAATGTGAAAACATTTCTCAAAAATGGTGCCTCAAATATTCACTGATGAGCACAAACAACGTCAGCTTCATGTCTCAACTAATCTTTTGATTAATGCAGAGGTTTTTGATTAGATCATTACCAGAGATGAAACATGATTTGCTACCCTCTCCAATACCCAGCAACATGCAACTGCATTACTAAAAGGTATTCTAGTAAACGAGTTTCCAGCAATTTCATAACTTCACAAAGGGATTACTTTGAAGGTGACGGCAGACAATAGTGAGCAGGTAAGCAAATTTGACTTTCACAGAACTATTCCAGGAATTAATTTGTCACCCCTTGTACAATAGCTCATCAGGAATTTTGTACATTGTATATTCAGGATTTTAACCATTAGTACTCGAAAGATGATCTATTCTCAAAGCAAAATGTTTGTCCTACAACTGTAGGTGACTCCATTTGCTGAACAAATGTTATATTTCATTCCCATGGTTGTGTTATCATGTTCTGCTATAGCAACAGTGAAAATCACCTTGCTTGTAGTTCAGAACAAGGCTACTGCAGTCAAGGCAGCAGAGCCTAAACTAATACATGTAAATAATGCAAAATGTTAAAGGTAAAAAAAAAAAAAAAAAAAAAAAAAAAAAAAAAAAAAAAAAAAAAAAAAAAAAAAAAAAAAGGAAAAAAAAAAGGAAAAAAAAGGAAAAAAAAAAGGAAAAAAAAAAGGAAAAAAAAGGAAAAAAAAAAAAAAAAAAAAAAGGAAAAAAAAAGGAAAAAAAAAAAAAAAAAAGGAAAAAAAAGGAAAAAAAAAAAAAAAAAAAAAAAAAAAAAAAAGGAATTCAATAGAAAATACAGATTAACAATTAAGCAAACAATTTTTCAATGATAACCAAAAAATTATGGACTATTAATAATACAGTGGTTAGTATGCTGATCTTTTAACATTCATTTTGAACTTCATTAGGGATTTCATACATCTAATTTAGAATTACATTTGGCTAAGTCAACATCATGAAATACCAATTTAAGAATAAAATGCATTTCATTATTAAAACTAGCAGGTGTTCAAGAATAGCACACCTGCAAATTTTTAATTTCTAATATTTTTAATATTAGGTGATACTGTTATAATATACAAGACAAACAAATGTTAGATATGCAATCTCTATAGTAGTATACAGTAAAAATACTGTTTTGCAGAATTTAGATATGAAAACTGCATGTTTTATCTCTTAAGGAAAATCAAGTGTTGGTTATTCAGCTCACACATAATGAGAAAAGAGGGCCTAGAGAATTTAACATTCACAGGGACATATTGTTGGCAAGAGAAGCAGAGGACAAACAAGGTGTAACTAACCAAACAAGTCTATATGAACAGAGAACAGAACAAGGACAAAGAGGGGTGGTAAAAAGTCAAAAGTTACAACAGAAAGCAGGAAGTGGTGCAGAGTCATAATTAACCATGTCCTGAAGGGACATGGCACATTAAAGGAGAAAAGAACTAATACAAAAGATGTCTGAAATCTAAGCAACATTTTGTATAAATTCCTGACAATTTTTTTTACAATAATTCAGTGATTTTTAGATTCATAATTAAAAGGTTAAGATGGAAATAGTCAACTTTTCTTAACTTCAGCTAATGTCAAAAACATCTTTTGAACAGACTTCCTGAATGTTTAAGTCTAATTTCTCTTTTAACCCATTAATGTCTGCAATTAAATCCAGTATTAACTATAAGTTCATTAAAAATCTGTTATTTAATTAATAATAGATTTTAATGAACCTATAATTAATACTGGATACTATTTAAAAGAAACCTATTAAGAATAATAGAAATCTCGTATTAAAAAGATATCCAGTATTAATTAAGACTTCTTAAAAAATAAAAATACAGTATTAATTATAGATTTAAAAAAAGAAAAGAAAAAAAAAAAAAGAAGGCAGTATTAATTACAGAGTCTTTTTTTTTTTAATGAATCATTAATATTGGATATTTTTTAAAAGAAATCTATTGAAATTGATAAAAAACTGAGCTTAATTATAGGTTTCTTATTTTTGAAATGGTTGGCATTAATAGTTTTAAAAGTTTAATATCTTTGTCAAGTTGAACTGTAAAAAATTGAGACTGAAATGGGTACATTAACATGTGTTAAATTATAGAAAAACAAAAGACATGAAGAGAATGTTTTTAAAACAATAAATTAATGGAATATCTTAAAACATTTCTTTTGACTGTTGAAAACATTAAGACATTTTTTTTTATTATTATTTTTGTTTTAAGTAATCTCTTTCAGAAAAAGGTAAAATATTCACAAAATATTTCATTATTTTAACACTGAGTATTCAAGTTGTAGAATTTAACATTTTTTTTTTTTATTTAATATTTAAAAAAATAAAAGTTGCATTTGGGGAAGACTTAAATATTTCCTTTATCAAAGAATCTGTTTTTGTAAGAATTAGTTTTACATTTTTTGTTTACATTTTTGTTTTACACTTTTTGTAACTTAGCACAAAGCGTCTTGGATACTCTTGTATAGTTACAACTGCATTGAAAGACAAACTATAATTTACACATTAAAACATTTTTAGGGTAATTTATGACAAAGTTGAAAAGGCTTCTGTGTCATGCAACTCTTCTTTTAGTATTTAACCCAACTAGAGTGATTCTTACATTGATGCAACACTGAAAATTTTAAATTAAAAATATATATCTTTTTAAAAATATGTTTTGGGTACATAGTTTTGCTGATTTCATATACATGTATACCCCACCTTACATCGGTAATTTGTTCCAGGAGAGGCGACTTAAGTCGAGAAACAACTCAAGTCGAACTTACTTGTCACTAAGCTAAACCACAAATAACAATTCCCAGTTCTGTATTTTATTTATAAGTGAATTTTTAATAATATACAGTTAATAAGAATTTATTTTAAGCTAACAAAAAAATAAATTCTAGTTTTTAATATAATACAGAAAAAAAAGGAATCTAAATTTACAAATACATGTATGTACATATTTTTGTAGATGTTTACAATTTGGTGATCTTTACAGTACATCGTGGACTCTTTATTTGTGAATGTGGTTTGCGCTAAGACATTATAAAATAAAATTATTTTGTAAGGTTAAATAATAAATATAGTCATTAAAATTATTGTGGTAGTAGAAAATAAACTAATTTATGTTAAATTTACTAATATTTTTAAATTTACCAGGATTTATGATGATTATATTAACATTTAATTGTTAATGTATATATTTTAATATGATTTTATATACTTTTATTCTTATTTATTGTACAGTAACATGACTGTGTTTTTAACTCTTTTCTAGTGATATCACCACTGTTGTGGAGGACAGACGTAAAGTTGAATAAAATGACTTAAATTTTATTTTTATTTTTCCATATATTTTTTTTGACAAATGATGTATAATCTAGAATGACTAACTTGAGACAACCTAACCCAAGGTATACTTGTAGTTTCTTTTTGTCTATGCTTCCATCAATTTTGTTATTAAATATCCCAC